ACACACACACACACACACACACACACACACACACACACACACACACACACACACACACACACACACACACACACACACACACACACAGTCTCTCTATTGGATACAGTATTTACAGTCACTGGGACTGAAAGGAGCCAAGGTTGCATTTCTGTTGTTACCCGCTCTGTCAGCTTGTGAAGCACAATAAAAACAAATCCTCCAGAAGCAAAAGACAAAGGAGTGGATGGATGAGCAAAAACCACACACCAGCAATAACGACTGTCACCACAGTAATGGTAATCGGTTGAACTATAAAGCTGTTATGGCAAACATCAGCATTCTTGTGCACCCCCGTACATTTGATGAAATGTTCAATGTTTACTCTTACTTAAGCTCTGCTTTTGAAGTATCTGTCAGTCTGACAGCTGCTGCTGCTAGAAATGAAACTGCAAGAGTCAAGAGAGCGAACCAGACCAGTAAAGTTATGGGCATTAAAATCAATTCAACCAGCTGAAAATCTAAAGCAGTCCTTTATAGATCTGAGGTAAACCAGAGAACTTGGCTCATAATTCTACAGTTTCATAATGATGAGTGCAACCTTTCATTTGATCTGTTGATGCTATAACATCTCGATTATACCAATTTTAAAAGAAAGTTCTGATTTTGTAGATATCAGCGTTTCTGGAGCCAACCCCAGTCCCCTCTCAAGCCTTTCCCAAACCACAGCCTCAATTCATGCTCAAGCCATCTGCCATTATCTACTAGATATGCTGTTCAACCTATATGTAAGTAGGATGTTGTCCCAGCTAGTGAATTACTTTTTAATTGTTTGTGGTGGGTCGTCTACCAATCGGAAGGTCGGTTGATCGATCCCCAGCTTTCACAGTCTATATGTGGAAGTATCCTTAAGCAAGCTACTGAACCTCGAGTTTCCCCCAATCTAGGCTTATATGTGTGTGTGAATGTTAGATAAAAGTACAAAGTAAAAGATGCTGTGTGAATGTATGTGTGACTGGGTGAATGAGACTGGTAATAAGTGCTCAGACTGAGTAGAAGGTTTCTATATAAGTAGCAGTCCATATACCAATAATCTACGCAGTTTGAGCCATGTGCTACTCACACTGGGAAGATACCAGTAGGTAAAGCCTTTCAGCACCTTATCCCAGTGACTCCACAGCCACCAGTCTCTATGGCATCACTGAGCATCAACCTCGAGGGCTGAACAATGAACTCAAAGCTCAAGTGTCTAATCCTGCAGCTCATAAAAGAGCCACTTGAATCTGGCTACAAAAGCACATCAATCTCCATTTCCCACAGTGGGCTGGGGCCATCCTGAACTGCGTTCTGACACCTTCGATCCAGTGAGCAATTAAATCTGATTGGCAGTTTAATGCAAACTACTGTCGAGCTTCAGCTCATCCCTCAGAGACAGTTAAATTACTAAATGGGGCCACCTGCACACCGCCTTCTCATCTCTGTCATGAATCCATGCATGTAGTTTATAACGTGGCCACAGTAAGGGAAGCAAGCATAAATGGATGAATTTTTAAAGTAGGCAAATTAGAAAGATGAAGAGAGCTATTAGAAAGAAAGGACAGGATGGGAAGACAAGAGATTATTTTCAAAGGTAAAGACTGCTCAGCAAGTGAGTGGAAACTTCCAGCTTAAATGCAGTATCCCCGTTCTTGTTAGAATTTTTTTTTAACCAAGCAGAGGATCTGCTGAATTCGCCTGGTTATTTCATATAGAGTAAGATCTATGACAACAAATACATGATAATCATTCCATGTTTTTCAGAGGTGATGCAGGACATTAAGTGCAGGTTAAACTGGGAAGTCTGCAATACTGTGGCTCAGTTGATGGACCATGTTAGATTGGTACAAGACAGACTGTGGTATCCATGGTCACAGCTAGTTAGTCATGTTAGGTCATGGGTTGCAGCAGAGAGAGAGAGATGGTGCTGAAAGAATTTTGAATTGAACCCTATGAGAGAGCTCTGAAAAAATGATAGCAGAAGTATAACTTTCATAAGAGCAAGGTTTTAAAACCTTATTCGTGGGCAGCAATTGGGTGAATGTTTACATTTTATTATTCAGATTTAACTGGATATTTTATACTTTATGGTATGAGATACCAGTGCTAAAAATAGAAGAACATACAGTGGATCGCCCAGAGTTCCGACGGCAAAATTATCAAAGCAGTGAGGGGTCATTCTGACAGACAGCAGAACAAAAAGCAGCCAACATCCAAAAAAGAGCTTTGAAGGTCCTTCAAGAAGCCTGAAGAATTATTTCGTTACTACTTAAAGAAATTACAAGAAAGGTTGCCTAGGGTAGCTCAGGCTGTGTTGAAGAATAAAGGTCATACCAAATATTGACTTTCAAGCGTGTGACACTTATACGGCCGGACCTTGCTAACCAACAAAAAACAAACAAAACAAAACAAGGCAAAAGCCATAGCACCAAACTAAAGGCTTAAAAACAGGACTTTCTGAACACATGGGTGGCTACCTTCATCTTTTATAAACAGTTTATAGGCTGCGCCAACTGAGAGTATTATACAGGGAATGGAGCCCATTTCTTTCATTCAGAGCATTGTGGTACCTGACTAAGAGCTTTGCGCCAGTACAATGGAATCCATTTTAAAGGATGTCACAGTCAGTCGAGCTTGCAATTTCGACCATCACAGAGACTAAAGAGCGTGAGGATGAGAGGTGAGTCCGACATAAGGTTTGTGTGAAAAGGTGAGGACAAAGACGGGAAAGAAGACAAGAGAAAGAACAGTGCACACATCACAGAAGAGCCACATTTTACAAGGTTGTTTTGCAACTGTCTAAAGGTTGTTTGCTGTTTTTTTAAATAGTATGCGTCAGTTATCAGTTTAAGGACTACGCCGTGAATGGACAAACAGAAACATGCAAGGACATAGTTTGCACTCTGCAAAGGAAATTCCCTGGTAAAACCAGTGAATGGCGGTTTTGTAGAATAATGTGAACTTGCAAAACTCGTCTATCCTGTAGATTCAGTGTCTGTCTGCGTTTTCTATTTCTCTCCTCTCCACCTCCCTGTGACCCAGTTCTGCCGCACTGCTGCACACATCATTACGTGTCCCACTGAGATCCTCTCCAGACACGTCCCAGAGAGTACACATGGAAACGCACACATGCAATACATCCACCTGCAAACATCCAGACAAATGTACACACACGCAGGCACCTGTTACTGGAAGGCTGACTATAAATAGACATTAGGTCAAAGACACTAAACTTGCAAAGTATCAGTCAACACTGAGGCTTCATGACTGATTAAAACCAGTTATGGGTGTAACCCCAGTATACCAGGAATGAGCTGCACTTGGTCACATTTTCGGAGTGTTTGTGCAATCGATCAGTGAACGCACGGTAAGAGTGCAGCTATTTATCCAACTGCGGCTGCACTGAAGTTCAAAGGCATTTGACATCTGACTGTTATGCAAGTGAAAAAGGACATAATGCAAAAACGTGACACTGCACAATCAATGATATTACAAAAAAGGGATTATTTGGTATTTTTCCATCAAGATACAGGTTATCAATCACACGCAACATGTCTTGCCAGTTCATATTAAACACTAATCCATAGTGCTAGTACCAAGTTGGACATCGCATGCACTGACAAAGGTACTGGGAACATTCCAATGTCGCAGATTTGTCCTCATCTGCCTCAGCTCAAAGGTGCTCTATTGGATTGAGATCTGGTGACTATGAAAGCACTTGGAGCACACTGAAGTCCTTGTCATGTTCAAAAAACCGATTTGAGACAACTTCAGCTTTGTGGCTAGGTAGGCTGTGGTGTTTAAACAATGCTCAGCTGGTACTAAGAAGCCCGAAGTGTGCAAGAAAATATCCCCACACCGGTATACCAACAGCAGTCTGAACCATTGCTACAAGGCAGGATGGACCCATGTTTTCACGCTGTTATTGCCAAATCTGACATTAACATCTGAATATTGAAGCAGAAGAGCGTCAGAGGAGAGAGACTCATCACATCAAAAAGACTGATTGCAATGTTTGTTTCCAATCTTCTACAGGCCAATTTTGGTGAGTCAGTGTGAACTGTAGCATCGGTTTCCTGTTCTTTGCTGACAGGAGTGGCTCTCAGTGTGGTCTTCTGCCGCTTCAAGATACCACTTTCAAGGCTCTCTTCTCCATTCTGATGCTGAGGTTGAACTTCAGCAGGCCTCACTCCTTGGTGGCTGCTTATTGGGGCCTGGAGCCTGGGGCTCGCTCGGGCCACTTTGGGGGTGGGGTGCCCTCGGCCTCGGGCTCGGTCACTCAGCCACAGCTGGCTGCTGGCGGAGCTCACGGGCATGTCACTGCAACCCCCCCTGGCTTCTGCTCCACGGCTGCTGAGCGACCCCTCATCTGGGACTCTCCTCAGCTCTTTCTGGGACAGTGGCGCAGCTGCCTCTCTGTTGGTCTTCCTTGGTCTCTTGTGTTCTGGGGGCCTCTGGATGTCTGGAGTCTTGATCTCCTCCATACCTGCTTCATGCTCTGGTGGGCGGGGCTGTGGCCACCCCACACCCTCTAGCAGATCATTACATGAAGGAACCTTTTAAATACAAGCGCGTCCATGCTCACAGGTGTACACACGGGTGCTCACACACACAAACTACACCCTTTTTGGCTCCTACCTTAAAGCACACTGTGCGCTGTCGATATTACGTGCTTCACAATAATGTTTAATATTTAGTATTTACTGTTATATTCCCATAGATCATCGTGATGTTGTTTATTGTATTGCTCTCGTTTTCTTCTGCTTGTTTTCTTTTTTCTTTCTCAACAGGTGATCCAGGTGATTGATATATGTATTTTTTTGTCTGCTTATTTAGTTGTTTTTTGTTTTTTTGCCCTTTATCCCCGTCCCTCTTCTCCGCTGTTTTTCCCCCTCTTCCTTTCTCCCTTTTGTTTTCCTCATTCAAGTCTGTCCCGTATCTAGCAAGTGAAAATAAAAAATAAATAAAATAAACAATAAAAGGTGAATCAAATAGACCATTACAGCAAGGCTGGGATGGTCAATTTGGTAAAGTAAATCCGTTGGGCATCTTTCTTCGCCTTTAGACAACAATTCTGATGGCAAAAGAACCAAACGGGACAGGCAAAAAAAAAAAAAAAAAAAAAAAAAAAAAAGAACTTCAGCAGGCCAACTTGATCTTGTCTAAATTTATCTCTATCTGCTGAAATAGCTCAGTTGGAAAAGCGTTAGATGGAAGATCTAAAGATCCCCGGTTTCAGCAATTAGGAGTTACCCTTAAGCTTTTCTCCCCCCAAGATTAATAAGTTAATGTGTTTCTAAATGTACTAAATTGTTGTCATGTGGTTGGCTGATTTGATTATTGCAGTGCAAAAGTGAGAAGTTGAGCAAGTGTTCCTAATAAAATAGCTACAAGTGTAAAACATTCAATACATTTTCATTAAAATAAATCAAATCAAGCTAAACCTGTATGAGAATATATGAATGTGCTTACCCATGTTGAGTAACCCTTCCATTATAGATCCAAACCTACTGTTTCACTGTCCGATTCTTTCCCCAGTCTACTTTTGTTTTAGGTTCTCTTGGATTTTGTTGTGTAATTTATTTTCTCCCAATTTCTCAATCCAATTCCTCAGTCTTTGTCCTTTACAGCGCTAATGTTATTGACTGGTCTTGTGTCACCTGAACAAGCCTGTTCATGTCTCTTTCATTTATCTTTCTTTCACCCCTCTGCTGCCCCCTCATCTATCTCTCCTCCCACTCACACCATCTGGACTGGGTCCACACAGCATGCAACAGTTGCATGATTGGGCTGAGTTAGCATAAGAGAGCCAATCTGACCTGGCTACAAATGATGCTAAAAATGGAAAATCTTTGCCAGACTGGTAAGCCAACAGAGTACACTACAGTACAAAAGGACACCGGTGTCCTGCACCGTTGCAAATTATATAACCCCAACCTTGACCTCAGAATGTGAACTCCAAGCCAAACATATTTACTCATGCTATTATGTATTTGTATAAATTGTCAATGTATTATTAGTAGAAAATAACCAACAATAACTTCTCACTTATAAAGGAAAAGAACTAAATACATGCTTCACTGTAGTTCTTCCAATGGTTTTAGTTTGCTGTAAACAAATTATCTTCAACATTTTTGGAACATTTGAGAACAAATAATTATGCTTAACAAGTAGGTCAGTAAAGAAAACAGTTATCAGTTGCAGCTGAAGTTGTATAACGTGAACTTATAATCTGAACATTTCCAAGAACACCACTTTAACATTATTTCAGTGCGTCAGCACCATGAAGACTTTGCTGGAGATCCAGGAGGTCCCAGGATAACTGGTCAATTTTACATTGCACAGACCCCGTAGCTATAGTTACAGAGTTAAAAGGAAAAACGCTACACCAAGCAACATCATCCCAACTGTTTAATTTTATTAATACTAGATTCTGTTTTCTGATGGAATTAAACAAGAAACCAAAATAAGAAAAAAGTTTACAGCTGGAGTAGAATAAACACCATCCACAATCTGGCATTCCTAATTTATTTCTTAATAATTCCCTATAGCTGATCTGTTGGGAGCAATAACATAATTAAATAATTATCAGCACACGACGTATAAAGCTTTTGCAAAGAAATCTCTCAGAGTAGATATTGGGCCTCTTCTTGCTTCTCGCATGCTTAAATGGATGTAAATGTTATTCCCTCTTTCATAGTGTTTATTCACAACAGCAGCTATTAGAAATCAGTAGGACTGATAAGAGGTGTTATTGAAGACTAAGACTTTGAAAATTGAGGTTACACGTAGAGGCGACGTGGCTTGTAGTTAAGGAGCACTTTGCGTCTGCGCGGAGCCTCACTTTGCAGAGCTGAGTCCGCGCATAGTGTGGACTGGTGGGTGTAAATCGTTAGCCAAAGGACAAACAGCACTTTGGTCCTGAGTTGACTGTTTAAAATCTAACCCTGCAGCCATCTAACCTGCAAAGCACACACCTCCGTAACATCTACTAATGCTACGCTTGCAGTAATTATCAGACGGGGTAAAGGTCGATTTTACGCATTGGCACCAAAGTGCAACTTAAATTTGCAATATGAACTGAATACTCGAACAGCATTGTTCGAGTATCAAAACTCCCCCCCACGTGGCTCCTGCACTGAGTTCTTTTTAAACTTGATCGTGAGTTGCAGGAAAAAAAGAGGAATACACAAAGCGATCAATACCCGCCGCAGCGACGGAAATAATCTGCAAGATTTTTTTTAGCTATAAAACAAAGAGAAACAATCATAAGAGGTGGATACAGGAGCGAGCCCCGATAAGCAGAATTAAGTATTTACTTGGCCCAAACAGCGTATTTTCATTACGATGAGAAGTTGCAATGTTTAGAAGAGAAGTAACGAACCTCTCCGATCTCTCCTCGAGCAGGTAACAAGTGCTGGGTGAACAGGGGCAGGGTACAAAAGTAAATGAATGGGCAGGTGTGAGCTTTACTGCCACCTGATGGATATATGTTAATGCTGCACCTGTGGGTGCTGCCTTTGTCACGACGAAAACAATAACAACAGTGGATAAAATTCATCTTTATTTATCTTCATTCCAATGCAAAGTGTGTAAGGACGCTTAAAAAGCTCTTTATTAGGAATAATCGGAAATAAATTATTAAAGCGCGCAAACCCTACGTGATTAAACTTGTCAAATGCTAACAGCACGACTCTCCTCTGAGCATGTGTGTGTGTCAGAGCTTGCTGAAAGTAATCCTCGGCGGAGTCTCGGGCTGGAGGATGAGGGTGATTGTGGTGTTGAGGTCCTCTGAGGACGGCACGCTGAGATGGAAGCTCAGCAGGATCTAGACATGCAGAGAGGGAGGAGGCAGGAGAGGGGAGGGGTGGAAGCATCAAGAAAGAGAGGAAGAGAGAGCAGAGACGTTTACAGGGATTAAAATCATGCTACAGTGAGGGGCGGAATAGAAATAGGTGCATCTGCTCAAAATGCTACTTAGATTTTTTTCGTTTCTCTTCGGGTGAACTATAATTTAGTGAAACAAACTTTACTTCGCATTTATTTGAGAGCTTTTATTACTGGTTGAATAAACATATTCCATCTAAAGTTTTAGGATTTGAAAACAGTGTTAAACTTTACAATTTGTTTTTTTCCTCCATTGATCACCCTGTTTCCATGAAACATGAACCAATGAAGTTGCCCAACACTGCAGGAGGTTTCTTGTTATTAAAAGGGAGTTTTTCTTTCCCACTGTTGCAAATTGTTTGCCTGTAGTGATTGTTGATTGTTGGAGTTTCTCTGTTTTACTGTAGGGCCTTCACCTTACAATATTAAGCACCTTGAGTCAGCTGTTCTTATGGTTTGGAACTATATAAATTCAAGTGTATTGAATTGAACTTGTTTATAACTAATGTTTATAACTATTAATGTAGCTATTATCTTCACTGTAGCCAGTAATGTAAAGTGGTCCTTATAGGGAACCGAATCATTAATTCACTGCAAAACAATGACTTATAAAGCACTGAGTGAACTGAAGTCTTCTATTCTTTTAAATGCACAGCTTTTACTTCTTACCAGCCTTATAACTGAGCTCTCATGTTTCCACTTCTTCCTGTCCTCTTGCATCATTGTCCTTTCACTTTCATCCCATCCCAAAACTTGCTTTCTTGCTTCCTTACTCTTCCCCTTTCACTTTTTTGCTGTCACTCACATGCATGAGAAAAAGTTGCATCTCGCTCTCAGCAATCCTCCTCCCGACACACTGCCTCGCCCCGAAGCCAAATGCCAGTGAGCGAAATCCTGTGGCTTCCACCCTTTGGCCCTCTTCTCTGTTCCACCGGCTGGGGTCAAAGCGCAGTGGATCCTCAAACACTTTTTCACTTCTCCCCATTGGGTAAATACAGGCCTGGACCAAAGTCTGAGGAGAATTTACCACCAAACGCATGTTAGTCAGATGAATGTATATGAATGTCTATGTGAGTGCAACAGAAAGAATCAGAGTTACAGTCCAAACACTCACCCCAGCAGGTATGTGGTAGTTCTGGAGAACAATGTCTCTGACTGGATACCGCTGCACTGTAATTCCCACCGGGTACAACCTAAACCAAAAGCAATCCAGACACTGAAAGCTTAAAATTTCTGACACATTACCTTTGAATCCTCCATTAGTTGAGTTGTCTGACATAATCAAGATTTCTGGTAATCAATTCTCATTTAGGTGCCTTTTGATAAACACAGACACTCAGACAGCTGATGATTTTTTTTTCCATACATGAGTTGAAGGAAAAATTAGTTTCTTCTTGTCTATATATAATATGTGTCATACATTAATTACTGTACAATATTCCTGTGTGAAATTTCCAGTGACAACTTTTGATTATTATTTAGAAAAACCCTGTAGCTAGCTAGGGTCAGGGTCATTACTGGTCGCATGAGTGCGATCTGGACCCTACAGAGGGTGCACAGGTAGTCCAGCTTAATTCCATGGTTTTTGTTCAAATTCTTTGGTTTTGATCAAATTCTGTTCTTTTCATTCTAATTCCGTTGTTTTCATTCAAATTCCATTGTTTTGATTCAAATTCTGTTCCGTTCATTCTAATTCTACTCTTTTTATTCAAATTCCATTCTTTGTTCTTAAATTCTGTTGTTTTCATTAAAATTCCGTCGTTTCCATGTTAATTCTGTTCTGTTCATTCTAATTCTGTTGTTTGTTTTAAACTTCCATTGTTTTCATTCAAATTCTGTTGTTTTCATTCAAATTCCTTTGTTTTGATTCAAATTCTGTTCTGTTCATTCTAATTCCGTTCTTTTCATTCAAATTCTGTTGTTTGTTTTAAACTTCCATTGTTTCCATTCAAATTTTATTGTTTTCATTCAAAATTCCATTGTTTTCATTCAAATTCTGTTGTTTTCATTCAAATTCCGTTGTTTTCATTCAAATTCCGTTGTTTTCATTCAAATTCTGTTGTTTGTTT